AACAAGTGATTGCAAAAACCATGGCCTGTATCAGGCGGACCTTAGTCTCCAGAGAGACACTGTTGTTCTTGAGTATTTTGGAGAGGTCCCTAACCTCTCCAATATAGACTATAGACTATAGACTATAGACTATAGAATATAGAAATTATTTTTCCCAAAATTACCTTGGACACTGGGAACTCTGATGCCTCTTCCAGGTGTGATCTGATTCCACTTTTAGGATAAGATTATGTTCAACAAGTGAGTGTTCAGACTTTTTTGCATGCAACCTAGAATTGCACATTTAGTTTCTATTAGGACCTAGAAAATACACACGTAGCTCTACACAAACATTTGTGCCATCTCTCTCTCTTTTATCCACACGGAGAACACAGTCTATATACACTTATACACACACTCTTTCATGCTGCGCGTGCGCGTGCGCGCGCGCGCACACACACACACACACACACACACACACACACACACGGATGCCACAAAGCGAGGATACAGAGTAACACATATCCTGACAACGTGTCATTTCCTCTGTTTTCTGTTTCATTTACAAACAGGTTTTTTTAAATAATTTTTTTTATTTTATACTGGTTTACATAGAAAATTTGTATACATTGTTTTTCACACAGGATCTTTCCCACTTCCTTTACTCCCCATCAAATTGTACAACCCTATGAGTACTTGCCCGTCCCCAGTTCTCACCAGTCTGCTCCCACAGTCCCCCTACTGAGATCCTCATACACATTTTACTAGTTATCTATTTCTACATTAATGATCGCATACAGTATTTGTCCTTATGGGAAGGCGTAAGTCCACTTAGCACAGTGCTCTCCAGTCTCTCCCAAGTTAGGTAGTAATTTTCAAAACCATTGCATCTCATGCTGCTTAATATTCCATCATGTGAATGTACCATAATTTCTCAAACCATTTGATTGTGGTTAGATATTTGGGCTGTTTCCACATTCTTCCGATGGTAAATAACTCTGCTATGAACATTGGTGTAAAAATCTCCATTTGTGATTCATTTTTAATTTTTTCAGGGTATATTCCAAGTAGTGGAATAGCTGGGTCATATGGAAGGTTTTCTCTACTGTTTTCTGTTTCATTTACAAACAGATTTTTTTTAACCCAATACACTGAGCTGTGTGGCCTAGGAAAGTCTCCTCCTGTGCGATTCCCTGCCTCTGAAAACCCGCTGGAGAGGCAGCTCTGAGTCAGTTCTGACTCTCCACTACACAACAACAACAACACTGATTGTCTGTCTGGTGGCCTAGTGGTAAATTGACCTGCCAACCCAAAGGCAGGCAGTTTGAATGCATGAGCTGCTCCATGGAGAAAGATGGGCAGTCTCCTCCCATGTGATTGATTTACAGCCTCTGAAAACCCACTGGAGGGTCAGCTTTGGGCTGGTCCTGAACTGATGGTATATAACAACAATATTTATTATTAGGAAGGACCAGTCCTTGGAAAAATACATGGCGCTGAGAAAGGTGGAGGGTCAGAGAAAGAGAAGACCCTCTTCCAGCTGGGTGGACACAGTAACAATGGGTTCCGGCATATCTGAGATTGTGAGGACAGGGCTCAGATTTGTTTATAGAGTCGCTGTGAGTCGTAGTTGACCTGATGGCACATAACAACAGCAACAGTGGTTCCTCTCACACACTACATCTTCTCTTTCTTAGTCGCTGCTCTGGAGCAAAACGAAAGACCTGGCTCATCAGTACACACGGGTCCAGCAAGATATGTTCACCTTGGAGGACACGCTGCTGGGCTACATGGCTGACGGCCTCACCTGGTGTGGAGACCCTGGCACTTCCGGTGAGGACCCTGCCCCAGCTCTCCTGTGGGCTCTGAAGAGCAGTGTGGACAGAGGCGCTAGAGGCCCTGCCCCTCACGTCACACCCCCCCCCACCCCCGAGAGTCAATCAGAAACAGAGCAAAGCAATCCCCCAATCTCCTGCTGAGTGACTCTTGACGTGTCTGCATGGCTCAGAGTATGTTTGTACTCTGTAGATATGTCTGTGGTTGATGTCTGCAAGGAAAAGCTCAGGACCTTTTTCTAAGGTTCCTCTAGGTTGGACTGCCATCGACTTAGGGAGACGTCTGTGACAGAATGATAGAAGTGCTAGTTTAGCCAAAGGAACAAATGAATCTTTCTTGGGAGAAGCGCAGTCAGTATGCTCCTTAGAGGCAAGAGCTGTAAGACTTTCTCTCATACGCTGTGAGTGTGCTGTGAGGAGGGCCCAGTGAAGAAGGACATCGCTTGGTAAAGCAGAGTGTCAGTGAAACAGAGGAAGACCGTCAGAGAGTGTGGGGAAATCATCAAGCACTGTAAAGAACGTATATCCATTTCATGATCATTTCCCCCCCCCCGAGAGGTAGTTAAAATTTGTCTTTTCACTCTACTGGAATGATTTACATCTATAATTGAAAAAGAGTTCCTTGATGGTACAAATCGTTAAGTGCCCTACTACCATCAGAAAGTTTATTGGTTCAGAGCTACCCAGAGGACCCTCCCTGGTAAGACAGGGCTGGTGATTTGCTTCAAAGTCACAACCTTGGAAGTCTTATGTAAGACAATTCTTTGCACATGGGGAGTCACCTTGCATGGGAACTGCCTTGCTGAGAACTCACAACAATGACCAAAAAATACCCAGACATGTTTATTCTCTTATTTGTGTGATTTTGACTTTAAAGTGTTTAAAATGGTAAAATCTGGTTACCTCCAGTCAGTTTCAACTCATAGAAGAATTTTTTTTCTATAATTATATTTTATTAATTTTCATAAACATTTACAGAGATTTTGGGTTTCCATTCATTCATTGTTGCCTCATAGAAGAATTTAACTGAACAAGACTGTCTGTTTTTCCGCACTCAGTTACTACTTGTCATTAAATGTTATTGTTAAGGGCTCGACTTGAAATGATCTTACAAGTTGAGTCAACTTCAAGTCATAACAGCCCCATAAACAACAGATCTGAGCCTTACCACAGCCTTTACCATCCTTGTAACCTCTGCCATGTTCAAATTCTTTGTAACAGTCACTGTGTCAGTCTACCTTGTTGAGAGTTTCCCTCTCTTTCTCTGACCCTCCACTTTTCCTAACATGGTGGCCTTTTTTTTTCTAAGCAGTTGCTCCTCCTGCCAACGTGTCCAAAGCTACTGGGTTCGATTTGCAACCCAATGCATTATGCAACACGTCATTACTACAGAGCCCCTAAAGACTTTATCATCCCAGAAAAATTGTAGTCTAGACAAGGAAGCCCAGTGAATACCACTATCATTCAGATATATGCACCAACAACCATAGCCAAAGAAGAAGAAATAGATGATTTCTACCAACTTTTACAGTCGGAGATAGATCGAACATGCAATCAAGATGCATTGATAATAATGGGTGACTGGAAT